GAGGTTGAATGGTTGTGGGCCCATGTATTTTATTATTAATGTAGAGCCTACTAAGCAGCTATTGCATTCAGCTCATCCTATCTCCTCTCAATATGTGATATGTAATACCAAATAATAAATTAATTAAAAAATACTAGAAAATGTTAACTACATATATAATTTCCTTTTCTCCTATAAATCACACATATCTTCAATGGCTCAGGGTCTATGTGGTATATGTGGGACCCACCGTAGAAAGGATGGATGAATCTCACTTTCACTACTACTCTTTCATGGTCTCTTACAAATGAAATTATTTTGTTTTTGTATTTTCACATTTTCACACTCACATCTCACTCTTCATTCTCATGTTTAACACCCACACTATTAAACCTTTATTTTGATATATTGTATGCTTACCACCGCTCTATACGAATTGCCAGTTTGCTACAAAGCTGGATGGCCTTGAGAAGGCATGCTGATCTATTTTAGGGTTCTATTTCAACCATCATTGTGCTCTACTGTCTACTGAACAAACAACATTGCAAGTCTACTGAGCTCAAGCGAAGCCAAGATTAGAACACTTGAGCCCACCTAACCAACAAAAAGCCCCATTTCTTAAAACATGTGAACACACCCACTACCTCTGTTTATCTGAAAAGTTAGTTGTTGTCTACATATCAACTTTATTTATTTTAATTTTGATATAGGGATTTTATAATATTTATTAAGACTTATCCTCAACTACCTGTTTTTTACTTATTTCATACCATACCAAACATATCCTAAGTGTCTTAGACGTGTGAAATCACCACCCTCTCATTCTTGATACCAGCCCCAAGAAAAATCAATTTCCAAAACCGTTTAGGTTGTTTTATGAAATGTGGCTTCAAGGCTCCTCCTGTAAAGAAGTGATAGAAGATGGTTGGAAGCTCCAAATAAATGGTCATACAACCTATAGGGTTGCTTTGGAGATGGATCGATTAAAAGCTATCTGATCAGATGGACCCGGTCAAAATTTAAAGACCTTAACAAAAAGCTAGTCAAATCCTTGAAGCAAAACAATCCCCCACTTAGAATTCAAGGAAAATAAATGATTTGTATAAAAAATATGAAGATACCTCAATCCATGTGGAAAGTTTTTGGAGATAGAAGTCAAGATAGACTTGGCTTCATTTAGGAGACAAAAACACCATTTTGAGGCAGAAAAGGAACAATAGAAGGTATAAAAAATGATCACCGAATTTGGGTGACTGACTAGTGACCACAAGGAAATTGATGGAATCTTTGTCTCTTTATTTTCTCATTTATTCTCTAGCCAATCTTCTGGGGATTTGATCAGCTATATGGAAAATTTGATTAACAAAACAGTCATTGAAGAGGAATATAGTAGCCTAACGACAATCCCTTCAAAAGAGGAGGTCAAAGGAGCCCTYTTTAGTATTGGTAGCCTTAAGTCTCCTGGTTCGGATGGGATGACTTCTCTTCTCTACAAAGAGTATTGGGATTTGATGGGTTCTAAAGTAATAGCTTTGGCCTAAGAATTTTTCCAAAACAGGCAAATGCTGAGGAGATTGAACCATACCTTTATTTGTCTCATTCCTAAAAAAGTGGACTACACCCACGTTCAAGACTATAGGCCGATCAGGCTTTGTAATGTTTTGTACAAAGTCATAGTTAATAGATTGCATACCGTTCTAGACAAGTGCATAACTCCTACCTAGGCTGCTTTTGTTCTGGGTCACCAGATGCTACACAACACTGCCATCTCCCATGACGTTCTATTTCTTCAAAAACCGGTGCATAGTAGGTTATGTGGCCATCAAACTTGACATGTCAAAAGCCTATGATAGGTTAGAGTGGCCCTTTTTGTTAAAACTCTTGAAAAGCTTGGGATTTTCTAAATTTTGTCATTTAGTCTCATAGGCTATCTCGGATGTTTCTTTCTTGGTCTTAATTAATGGCACTTCGGAAGGCCGTTTCCAACCTATAAGAGGCTTAAGATAGGGAGGCCCCCTCTCTCCCCATCTCTTTATCTTGGCCATGGAAGGCCTCTCTAGGCTTCTCTTTATCTTGGCCATCTTTTCTTTGTAGACAATGTTCATTTGCTTTTCCTAAGAGCTCACAAGGAAGATCTGGACAACCTCTGAAATATTCTGGAGCTTTTCCAATCCTTTTCGGTCCAGGTGATAAACTTAGAGAAGTCTAGTATCTATTTCAGCAAGAACATTCACCTGAGGCATCAAAGAATGATTCGGAGATAGTTACACATCAAACCCCTTCACCCTCAATCCAAATACTTAGGGGTCCCCCTTATGTGGTGTAGGAATAAACACTCTCAGCTTTCCTTTATTCTTGATAATATCAACTCAAAACTAAATAGGTGGAAGGCTACTGCTTTGAGTCAGGTTGGTAAGAGAGTTCTCATCCAATCTGTTCTCCAAGCAATCCCAAACTACACAATGAGCTTCATACATTACCCCTAGAAAACAATAAATGAAATCGAGAAAACCATTAGAAATTTCTAGTGGGGAAAGTCAACTTCGAATTCGCACCCCTTTAGGTGGTGTGCATGGCATAAGTTAACCTAGCCTTGAGCCATGGGTGATCCAATCAAAGAGTTAGTTTTGGACCCATCTCAAGATAGGAATTGTGTCTTGTGTGAGCAAAGTTTAGAAACTATTCTTTGAATGTCCTCAAACTCATGCCATCCTCTTTACTGCTCCCTTGAACATTAACCTCAATGTAATCTTCAATAATTGTTTGCCATGTCAATATTCCTCTCCTTGCTCCATTACCCAAACGAAGCAATTCTAGAGGGGGTGCAAGATTCCCTCTAGAAGCACTAGGAGTTGCCACCTAACATGGCTTATATCTTTTTTTCCTCTCTTTTTTATTAGGAAACTAACTATCCCCCACTTTCTCTTAAATTATCGTTCAAATCATCCCCCCACAACGTCCCATACCACATCTCCACCGTGTATTGGGAACATATTCTGATGATGACATCATCATTTTTGGTATTATCGTCGGGACATGTTCCCAATACACAGCGGGGATGTGCTGTTGGACATTGTGGGGGGCAATCTTTTGGGGAGCTGATTTGATCTCCCTTAATTCCTGTTTATCTCCTAAATTATCTTGAATTCCTATTTATTCTCTTCCCTACCTTTCATCTATACCTATCTAAAGAAAGTTTCAATTAAAACATTTAACAATTATTTAAATATTATAGTGAAATTATAATAGGTTTAGTAATATTCAAATTATTAATAATTTTATATTTTTATGAAACTCATAATGAAATTATGTAATAAAAATRTAAATTATAATTTTATGGATGATTCAATTTAATAACTAAATAATATTTTAAAAACATAAATAAAAAATTATTTAAATAACAAAACATTAAAAATAGCTAAATAATTATGTAACAAAATATTTAAAATTACATAATAACGTTAAACTTTAAAGAAATAAAATTTACATAACTAAAAAGATTAAATTTTTTATATATTATTTAAATATTTAAATAATGAAATATTTAACATAACTAAATTTTAAATAGTTAAAATAATGAAATTATGTAATAAATTTAAAAAAAAATTCTTAAGAGTAGAATAATAATTATAATAGATTTCATAGCTTTTGAGTTAATAATAATGTTATATTTTACAAAATTATTTAATAGTAGTATAAATTATAATTTCATGGATTATTAAATTTAATAAATAATAAATATTTAAATAATGGTATTATTTAAATAATTAAACAATATTAACAACTAAATCATATCTTATATATTATTTAAAAAACAAAAAAAATTAAATAACAAAGTTATGTTATAACTGTAAAAAATTATCAAAAGAATAAATGTAATTATAACTAACGGGGCCCCATGCGATGCACGGAATGTGACACCCCTCCTTGTCCCTTGCCACCATAGTCAAGATAGTCTACCCCATCCTTGTCCTGTCCTTAGTGGCAGGACAGGTTGGAGGTGAGGCACCTATTCCCCGTAGGGATGGAGAATCCCCAAAATTTCACCACCTCGAGGCAGTTACCTAAAAATAATATAATTTGTGGATATTTTACAAATAGGATTTTGGGAATTTGGGGGTATTTTAAGAATTGGACTACGACAATTTGGAGGTATTTTATAAATAGAATTGTGCGATCCTAGGATTATAAAAGTACGAGGAAAAATTTAGATATATTTTAAAAGTCAAAATTAAATCTACTTATATTTTACTAATTTACTATCCGATTTGAGAAATTATATGCAAACCCAGTCCATTCCCTTCTATGATTTAGAACAAACATATTTTTCCAATTCCTATTTAAGATTTGAAAAAACTTAGCCCGTTCGGGAAGGGGCAGACAATCACTATCCACAATTATAGAATAGTGGTCGTTTAAAACAGGTGAAAGATATCCCAAAAAGGGAACCTTCCTCGATTCATTCCTTTAGCATAAATCCAACTGAGGTGAAAGAACCATTCAAACTACAACCTTGCAAGGTGGAAGAAGCACGTTCTGCTTTGAACTTCATAGTAATTTAAAAACTGATGGAAGTGGAATTAGAAACATGCAAAGTGAGCTCACAACACTGCAACGATCAAACCGACGCAGCCTTTACATCTCCGGCGCGTCGTATACCGAACAACGGAACAACTACACACCGCCGGGAGCTTCACTGTTGAACGAGTGAATTTGCTCCTATTCGACGCTATCGGGATTCGGGAAAGGAAAAAACCTTGCGAGTTCAACCGCATAGCGTATTATTAAAGAAGGGGGGTTTGTTTAACTCGGGGCTATAAGGGGCATTTCGTTCAAAATTTTGCTGACGTGTCAGTTTAACTCGCGGGCATTAGGAATTCCGCGCTGACCTGGCTATGGCAAATCCAATAAATGCAATCCAACTGGGATAAGGGGTTATGTAGATTCCAATCTGATGACATACATCAACTACATCTAAATCAATATGAAATAATGAGCTTCTTGCCTTTGTAAACCCAAAAAAGTCTAGAGAGAGAGAGAGAGGAGGGATCTTACTTTCTTAGAGAGTCTCTGTCACGATCTCACCAACCAAGAGTATACCGAATAACCCCCACCAAGGCACCAACCACCCACCGCTGATTCCAAGTTCCAACGCCTCGCACCATTTAAAAAGCTTCCCCTCTCCTCCTCTCTGCTTTGGTTCTCTCTCTCTCCCTTGTATCTTGGAAGCTCCGCCCTCTCTCCTCTGCTACATTAGTCTATACAGACAGGCTTTGGAGGGTCGTGGACTTAACCCTGACAAGTCTGCATCTTCTTCTCTGCTAACAGAGGCAAAATATTATAATGGGTGCCGACGGTAAGGTCTACACCTTAGAAGAAGTCTCACAGCACCGGAGTTCTAAAGATTGCTGGCTCATTATTGGTGGCAAGGTAATCTAGTCCAACTGAGTGAACACTTCTTTGTTTTCTGGGTTTTTCTCTGAACCCATGTGAAATATCAGTTCCTTGCATATGATTAATGATTTTACTTGTTGGTCATCGATCAGATTAGATCCGATTGGTTAGAACTCTGCAGTTTGCACTGGTATTGATTGGATCTGTTGTTTGTGTTGTTACAATTTTTGGATCTGGGCAAGGTATACTGGGATTGAATTATTCTACTATTTTTTCTCGGTTCTTAATACAGTTACTGAATATATGTATTTCCTTTCTGTTCTTGTGATTATGCATCTTTCTTTTGTTCAATATGTTTTAGTTTTCCTTGGAATCGGTAGTTCAGGAATTAGATTGCGTGTGGTTTGTGGCTGGCGTGTGGTTTGTGCGTGTTTTGTTCGTATTTGATGGAGAGGCTTAGGGTTTGAGTTGAAGAAATATCTCCCATCTAGGTTTATTTTTTCTTGATTTTCACTTTTAATACTTATGAAGTTTTTTCCCTCCATTTTTTAAGATTATTTTACAATTTAATTGCCCGTGGGGTCAAATGTAATACCATATTATTATATGGTATTACAATTTAATACCATATTATTATTTGCTCTGGACCCCTGGTTCCAATGGATAGAAACAAGCAAGTGTAGTTCTTCCTGCCGTATAAAAGAGAGGGTCTCCTTTATTGTTCCTCTTCTTAAACATAATAAAACTTACTATTTTGGATCGACCTTTTCCTTTGTGCTATTACAAAGCTTGAAGCAGGGGCTTTTCATTCTTCTTGTCCACTGTCGTTTTTCTTTCCTGTTTTGTTTTGTTGAGACATAGGGATAATTACAGGATTACAAGATATTGCTTTACATGTGCTGTTGGCTCTGTATGAAAATCTTGCTTCTTTTAGAGTATTCATAGGGGGTCTTACTCTTATCATTTTTGGTGATGCAATTTGGCAAATTGATTCAATGCATCCTACATGGTGCAAATTGATTTGAAAGTGTTTTCTCTCTTGTTTTTACAAAGAAATCTAAACGTGATAAAAAAGTACTTCCTCAATGAGTTTATTTAAGTTTTTATTGCATTTGAGGCAGTATGTATAAATATGGTATGTAATTATTTCAGAATTTAAAAAATGTGAATATAAATTTAAATGACGAGATCATTTAGGATTCCAGGGAATGAAACTATCTCTATCCTATTAACATTCTGATAATGGTTTTATTTTACATTATGAATTTATGGGCTCAGATGCTTTGAGAAACTATAATGAAATGATTTTATTCCAAATGGTATAAGCACCAATCTATCTATCTATAAAATATAAAGCAGATACTTGTCTTGGGCTTGTCGTATAAGCATTTGAGGCAGGTCGTATAAGCACACATGCATAGCACATGCCCTTACACTAGTTACTATTTTATGGCAATATAATAATAGAGGATTACCATGTCTCTGCTTAAGTAGGGGAAGATGTGATGTATAATGTGCCACCATTGAATCATTTTCTCTATGCAAATATATCTGGGACAAGTTCTGAGTGTTTGGCAGATATATGTGGGATAAATTCCATCACTCCTATATTTAAGCTATTTTTATGTTTGGAATCTTTTCATCATTCCACTTTCAGAACCTACTTCAGCAGTTATCAAGTTGATTTAAATGTAGAACTTATCCCTTCTACTTGAATGAAAGTTATTACAATCATAAGATGGAAAACTTTCAGTAGTGGTTGTTGTTACACCATTTCTATGTCTGGAAAAAGCTCATCTTGTAAGAAGACAATTACAACCAGCAATCATTAGGTTTCTGAAAAGATATTCTAGGCATTAACAATTGTAGAATGACTTAGGTTGACCCCAAAAGAAGAAAAGAATTATAGAATGACCAAGTGATGAATGCTAGTGTTTGAGTGATCTGTTGGGCTTGCTGCTCACTAATGTTAAAAGCTGTCCTGGATGTAAAAGTGTAAAGCTGTTTTGATGAACAGTTCATCTGGGTGGTTTTCTGGTTCCTTTGGTCAATGCCATAAAAAAACTGAAACTACACAGTTGTCCTGGTCATCAGTTTTCGAGTTTGACTGTATGGATCAATGATGGTTTGAAAACATGTCCACTGACATGCATGTTCTCTGATTTTCTTTATATATTCTTATTATTCTTACTGTTTGATTACATTGCTGCATTACATGTTCTTACAATTTACCGGTAGATTTGTCACAGTTTGCCTTTGTACATGCAGCCTGCTACAAGCATTAGCTCTATTGTTCAAGTCACCTTTATAATAGATGTTTCTTCTTAGTATTACCCACATTCTTAAGCTGACATCTAAGCAATCAAACCAAGTGTCCAACTTTGATTCTTTAAGGTTAGCTGGGAGCCAGGGTTCAATGCAAACCTATGCTATTCTAGTGTAGCACTGTTGCTATTGGACTAACTAAATTTTCAAAAGGAAAGTGGAAAGAATGACTGTTGACAACAACTCATTAGTTTAAAATTAGGAGGGAGTCAATCGATTAAGGGAATCTGCACCATCCTGGTAATGGTCCTTCAAGATATCTATTGAGTGCTTTGTTATGATCAGTGATTTAAAAGGCTCTCCTGAGGCATGCCTAGGCGCACAGGCAAGACACATTTTAGGGTAAGCGCCTTGCCCAAGTCCTAGGTGCAGCACTTTCAAAAGGCACACGCCTAACCTAGGTGTGCGCCTGATGCGCCTTGCGCCTTGGCCTAGGCATGTGCCTTTTGAAAGTTGTACGTTTTTTTGCCTTTTTTGAATCTAGTGGCTAGGCCAGGGGCTCCACCCTGACCATGCCCCTCGAGGCAAGCCCAAACAAGTCCATGTTAGGGTCTTAAATTCTTATTTCTCACACAAAAAAAGCACACGCCTTGCCTTGCGCCTCGGGCGCAAATTGGCCCTTGTGCCTTGTGCTTTTAAAACACTGAATGAGATGTACTTCAACTTTTGGTTGAATGAACGGACTGACTGTGTTTTTGAAAGAAATTAGAATATAGATTAACAGGTGGGAACTGAAAATGGAAATTAGAATGAAATACATCATATTTTGTGGATTACAGGGACTTAATTTTGAAAAAAGATGGATGCACATTCATCCAGATCTTATCCCAACTCATTAGGCGTGGTACATGGTTCCTGATTTGTTGTTCTGTTCTATCTAGAACCTTGTCTTCTATTAATACTTGCAACAAGGAATAGATTGAATTACCATTAGCAAAGGAATTGACACTCCTATTAAGGAATGAATACTCCCATATGTTAGGCATATTTCCTATTCATAGTAGGAAGTTAAATGCACTTGTTCTAGAAGTGCGGATCTTGGTCTAAATTTTACTCGAGGATGTATGCCAGATAGCTATGTGCTTAGTGGTCAAAGGGACATCTCTGGGACAATGAACATGGGCATTGAGCAAAACTGCATTGTCAATTACTGTGACTTAAAGCTCAGTACAGCTCAGTCCATTAGGATGCTAAATATTGACCACTGGTTGAATCCAATCTGCCAACCCCTATATTTACACTATATTCATGTGATTTCAAATAGGTGAGGTCTTTGATGTGCTTTCCTTTTTGAAATTTGATCTTTAAATCACTTCTACCTCACTTTCATTTCCATTGAATTCAATATTACCATGCGTTGGAACAGGTATATGATTTAACAAAGTTCATGGAAGACCATCCTGGAGGTGATGAGGTTTTGTTGTCAGCCACAGGTACTAACACAAAATAACAATAAAAAAATGTTTAAAATGTCTTCACTGTCTAATGGTTGTATGGATATTCATGTTATTTATGATTGGATTCAGGGAAGGACGCAACTGATGATTTTGAGGATGTTGGTCACAGCAGCAGTGCGAGAGCAATGATGGATGAATTCTATATTGGAGAGATTGATGCATCTACCATCCCCAAAAAGGTCAAGTACGCCCCTCCCAAGCAGCCCCACTACAACCAGGACAAAACTACTGAATTTATCATCAAGCTACTGCAGTTCCTGGTTCCCCTTGCAATCTTGGGGTTAGCTGTAGGAATCCGTTTCTACACCAAATCAACCTCCTAACTTGTCAAGAATACATTGTCAAACAGTCTTCCAAATAAGTTTGTGTCAATGGTAAAAGACCCTCCAATATGATCTGTTCATGTTGTTGTTGCCCCAACTTGTGGGGTGGGAGGAGGGTAGTAGGGCTGTCAACTTGTCTGGTAGCATAATTAACTTGTTTTGTACTGCCAAATTCTGTACTCATTTTCCTTCATTTATATTTGAGATCGGGTCTTGACTTCTTTGTTATGTTTTTATCCGGGTCCAATGTTTCTATTTGCCATTTCATCTTGCACGTGCGAAAAATCTTCTTATTGTTACTGGTCAAGGAAAATATTCGAGTAGCAGACTAGAAGCCGCTAGTTGAGTGGCACTTGAGTTTTGAGGGCTTGAATGGAGAAGCTGCCTGCAAGTTAGTCGGGCATCCTCTCTCTGTGCTTCATTTACTTTTGCTGGAAACTGGTGAAACCGGATTAGGCATGACTCATGTGAACACCCCAAATTGCTTTTAATGCTAAATGGATACTGAATTGAACACTCGAGGAGGTCAATTACACATTCAAAACGGATGTGCTATGGGATGGGCTATTTAGGCCCTGTTTGGTTCAATTCTCACTCTTTCTTATTTTTACTTAAGATGAAATTTAAAAATGGATAAGAATGAGTAAAAATAGGTAGAATGAGAAAATATTACTATGAATCAAATATTATTTTCCCAAAAATGATATATATATATATATATATATTTTTTTTTCTGACAGACAAGTGTCCTATGTTGTCATTTTTATTCTTCAAAAAAACTCTGTCCGTGATCATAAAATCTTCAGCCTTAGGTCTCCAAAACTGTTGGCATATGCTTACTGGCAGATAGCTGGTGCTCAATGTCTGCCGAGGTATGTTTACATGGTAGTCCACTAATAAACATCTATGACAGCAATTTTGTAAGCATAGAATTTCTTTAAAGAATGAAAATGAGGTCTATAGCAATTTCAATTTTTGTGTTATGGATTGATTTTTCATTTTAAAAAGAATGAGGCCCATGACAAGAATTTTATAATCAAAATCTATATTATTATTCATTCTTACCCAGAATCAGAATAATAAACCAAACATGGGTTTAATGAATCACTAATAATTTGAGCTAAAGCATATTGGTTATGCCTAATTGACGTTGGTACGTAGCCAGCTTCTGTGGTTAAAATTTGAACCCATGTGGTCTGAACAGAGATTCCTGTTGGGCACTGTTTTATTGAATTATCTGGTTCTCTGTGGTAATCTATCTGGACGAGGCCAAGCTGGTCCTACTCTCTAAAGACTTACTAGAGCAGTGTTGTAAAAACAAGAAGGTTTGTCGAGTGGGGGAACTGACCGAGGTGGTGGGTTTAGTGGTTTCAATACTTGAACTAGGCAGTCAGCTGTTGGCTTTTAGCTTATTTGTCAAATGTTGGGCAACCATGGATTGTAAAACAAAAGCTGACAACTGTTTATATGAATTCGAGCCATCTCCTCAACAGCTTTCTTTCTAAAGCAAAACATATGTTGACTCAAGCTCAATTTCAGTGATAGGTCATGTGTAAAAAATTTCAATGATACGGACATATGGAAGAAAATGCATCGGTTGGTTTTCATTCCAAAATAGCCATTCAAATGTCAGAGTCACCTCTTTGATTTGAATTGGAAGGTGGGTTTTGACATAACGATTGGATTGTTAAGGTTCAAAATTTTGATACATATCAGATTGTATCGGCCGATATATATTGTATTGTGAATTTCCTGATACAATGTTTCGGGGTTTAACCCGATTCAGAGGATAGATGGGCCTTAAATTGACCCATCTGAACCAAGTTGAAAAAAAAAAAGACTAAAAAAAGGAATATAAGCTTCGATACATCCTGATACAYCCCTATTATCGGACTGTATGGAAGTTTTAAACGTTGATTTCATTGCAACCTGGATTTTTAGAAACAGCCTCTCTATGTATTTGCAGGGGTAACCGTCTCACTGGTAAGGATGAATACCTGATTTGGGGTCTAACTAAAATTTTGCTTCTATCTGACTATCTTAATTTTGAAAGAAGGTTCTATTTTTTGGGTCTATACTGAAATTCATAGCTTAACATACCTGTCATACTCACAGTATTTCTGTATCTTTATATATGGACACTTAAGCTAACTCGGATGACGTCTTTAGTGATAATGTTCAACTAAAAGACTTAACTTGTTGGGATTTCTCACTATTTTTGGTGCCGTGCAAGGTTCAGAGTATCCATACACTAAATATTGTGAGTTATGACTTCTGGCCACTTTTGAAGGTTAATACCCTTCTTAGAGAAGAGACGTCCTGGTTCAATGTTTGAAAGTTAAAAATTTTCTAAATTAAGTATATCATCCTTTTGAATCATGATACGCAATTTTTTTATATTGTACATACTGATACATTGAACCTTGGTGCTGTATGGAAGAAAGATATTGGATATGCTTATTAGATGATGACATAGGGAGGTTTGCTGTCTCATGTTTGTTTTTATGAAGCTGACAGAATAAGAAATATTGTGAAAGAGGAAAATGTGCTGAAGTTGGTATAATCAGGCTGTTTTAGTGAGATACTTAGGCAACCGGTGTGTCAATGGTATTTGAAAATCTGATTTTAAATTCAAGATATAATTAAATCGAATTTGGATATGATTTGATTTTATTCTATAAATATCCGAATTTGATCGATTATTTAATTCTTATATATAATATAAGAAATACTTAAATGTTTTATATAATTTATATATAATAATTAAATATATAAATAAATTTATATGTTTATATACTTCATATAAATAAAATATTTATTTTATATATTTATTAATTACCTAAAATAATTAATTGGTCGAATTCAAATCGAATATTCAAATATTTAATCAAATTCAAATTCGAATATCAAATTTTCTAATTGGTTTCAAATTCGGATATTGCCTGATTCAATTCAAATTCGATCCATTTACACCCTTACGTGCAAGTGCAAGTTTTCATATAACATCGTCCAGCTTGATCAGTATTGAAGCTATGAAGAGACCTTTTCATTGCTCAAAACAAACCACATCAAATATTGCATATCATAATTTGGTGGACTTTCTGTGGTGATTTAACTGTTTAAACTGTTTATTGAATTACCTTCAATTGTTAGTCTTCAAAATTTGAAGCTGCAAACCAATTCAGAATAACAACTTATGATTGGTCTTTTGAACTAAATACTAAATGAAAGGATCGACCAGAGTGCGAACCAGAAAGGAGGGTGGTTTGGTTTAATCAATATAATTTAACAGCCATTCAGACCCAAAGAAATAAATGTAACCTAGGCTCAATTTGATAGGAGTACAAATACAAATTTGCAGAGTGAAAAACCTTATACTTTGTATTATTTGTACAATACATATTTGTATTTATAGTCCATGCAAACTGAGTCCTATGATTGCTCTTTTGCAGTCTTTGCACTCTCTAATTTTCACAATAATTTGCTTTCAGTATTAGACCAAACCTATATAAGAACCTATTGTCCTCCAACCTATTATATAGTTTTGAAATTATTCTTACATCATTTTAGTTTTACGAGGTTGACTTTAGTAAACCCTATTTTTTTTATAAATGGGTTGCACCCCTGGTGAGAAAGGTAAACAGAATCATTGTTTGTAATGATAAAAGGTCAGAAAACATGGTGGTTCTTTTGCCTTTTTAAAGCATTCACCATTTGTCTCATGATTAGGGTGTTTTATTTTTTTTCATTAAAAATAGGAATTTCCCAAACTCAAATCATTCATCCAGTTGAAAGAGCAATTATATGGTTCAGAGGGCCTTTTTTATTGCACTTTAAACCATCTGCATAATAGCTCAATACCAAAGTGATTGTATGTAACATAACCACCTTTGGGCCCTTAGTCTTATCTCTTGGGGTGGTTTTTTTTGTTATGTGTGCTTTTTCTTAGGCCGCTTTTGGTTGCAGTCCAAATTTCATTTGCACTGCTGTTCAAAGAAAAGACAAAATCATTTGCACTGGTGTAAATGCATGGAAGTGTAAATAGGTTTAGTGTAAAATCTGGTTTACTATTGTTTCAAATTTGACCTTGTTTTGTTTGTTTGTGAAAAGTAAAATAGGAAGTCAAATGGCATTGTCCCACCTTATGTGCAACATAATGAAGGTAGGAGGAAGATGGTTCAAATTTTGCATTAGTTTTTGAAATGCAAAATTTACACTGCTAGTGAGTGCTAATGGGATAGAAAGTACAGATTTTGAATCAGGTAGAAGTGCAAATCATTGCTACAAACAGATGCAAAATTGAACTACATGCAAAATTTGTATATGATTTAGATTTGCATTGCAACCAAACACAACCTTAGGTCCATTTGGAAAGAATGCAAAGTTGCAAAAACTAGTTTGATGCATATATGCACTCTAGTTTAGTCAATGTTCAAAGTATTGGAAACACTAAGTGTATTGGAAATCAAATTTTAAGAGACATATTGAGATATGCCTTGGATACGCTTGCATATCGGAGAAGAATTAAGATTAGAGGTGTAAATCTGGTCATGCCCCTCGCAGCCTAGCACGATGGTCTGGGCTATGGTGGGCCTGGGGTTCCAGGTCCACGATCTGGCACGACATGACACAACTATGCGTGCCATGCCACTCATGGGCCATGCTCGGCCTGCCCGATGAACTAGCCATTGGGGGGTCCCCAATGACTAGTTTTAACTTTTTGGGGGTTTTTTTTATAGAAATACCCCCCAATAGCTATAAACAGTTATATAGGGGGGTATTTATGCATTTTGGTTTTGGAGGAGAGAAAGAATGACGCAAATGCCCCCAACAACTAGTTTGGAGGTGCATTTTGGATAAAGTGATAAATAACTTTACAATGACCAAAATATTCCTTCCAATTCCAGGTCCACGATCTGGCACGACATGACACAACTATGCGTGCCATGCCACTCGTGGGCCACGCTCGGCCTGCCCGATGAACTAGCCATTGGGGGGTCCCCAATGACTAGTTTTAACTTTTTGGGTTTTTTTTTTTATAGAAATACCCACCAATAGCTATAAATAGTTATATAGGGGGGTATTTATGYATTTTGGTTTTGGAGGAGAGAAAGAATGACGCAAATGCCCCCAACAGCTAGTTTGGAGGTGCATTTTGGGTAAAGTGATAAATAATTTTACAATGACCAAAATATTCCTTCCAACAACTAAAAAACGGCTAGTTTTTAGGGTATTT